GAGTTTGAGGATCCATTATTTCCCTTGGAAGATAAATTCCAAAGAAGAAGAAGAAATCTCTTGACTTCTGAAACTTCCAGGTAATGAACTTAGGAAGAGTTAGATATGTGCAGGGAATTGATGTATACATCTACATCAGATGTATAGTTCATCTACAAAGTCAAAAATTAACAGACAGAAAGAACAACGACTACTTAGTGTGTTCCTGATCCCCATTTTCTCTCAGACGTCTTTCTCTGATTTTTAGGTTCTTTAGTTCTGGTCATATGATGTAATAAATGTGGTGTGCTTGATCACTATCTTTGAAATCGAATTTCTGAAATGTAGATTGAAATGTCAAAGGATGAATAGAATGATAATCAACCCTTTGCCACCAATATTGCATAGAAACAAAATATTAAGAGAAGCATTGAGAGAATTCCTAGGCAAAAACTTCCACCCAATTCCTTAATTTCTAATCTAGTTGGTGGTGCCAAAACAATTTAAAGATAAGATGGTTCTTTTAAAGTTTCCTCTTCTGGTCCAAAAACTTCTATATTTGCTGTAACCTTTGGATATTGCTCTAATAGAGGTTTGTATTTTTAATTTTTTATGACTGAAAGGCTGTCTTTGTATGGTCTACAGAATGAAGATTTTCTCTTCTATTACATTTCACAGCATCTTAATAATATTTGGCCTTGTCAAACAAGAAAGAAAATATAAAGTGCATATATGCTGGCAGATCCTTTTTCCATTTAATTTGAACAAATATATAAATCAAGGGGACTGCTACAATGTCCCAAGCGTTGCCATTTTTTAAAAAAAAGATCATTTAAGGACTTCAGTTAAAAAAAAATTACAGTTTTTATTTTATTTTGGGGGATTAACAAAATGGCACAACCCTCTTTTCTCCCTATGAACTGAGACAACTTTGTAAGAAATATAAAGAAACAAACAAATAAGCATTTATAAGGCATTGATTCCAGAGGCTAGTTATTCTTATATTAAGATTCTTTCAAATCAATAAAAAGATCCCAAAAATATTAAGAGATCTATTTTTTGGTTATGTTAACATTTATCCTTATGATTTTTCTTAGCGTCTGTATACATGTTTTTATTTGATTTTATAAATTAAATGTAATGTTCACTGCCTAGAGTTACTTGTTTCAAATGGGCAGCCATAGAAGTTGAATAAATACACACACACACACTTATCCATAGTCTCACCCTCTGGACTTCAATGGATCTGCTGTATAATACATAGGGCACAGACTCACATAAAGCATGGTTTATCTCCATTCACTTATCAATATGAAATTCGTATTTCATTTCCTTATTCAATCAGCTCACTAAATTTCCAGTGAAACAATCAAGTGTTGAAAAATTTATTGACAAGAACGCCATCTTAGAAATACGGGCATCAGGAATTGTTTAGAAATTGTCATGTTTCTTTACCTCAAATGTCATTTGTGAAGTGGGGAAAAATCCTACAAAATGGACTCATCATTTTACCTATAATCCACCTGGCATTTTCTAGATTAAATCTTTTTGCGGGAATGACCCACTAATATTGCACTAATACAGAAATCAATACCCTTCCAAAAGTCATTTGTGAGTTGAAATGCTGATAACTTTTATTAAAAATGAATTACATGCAGGCTACAAGCAATAGAGGATTTGTGAAAATAATTACCTGGAGATATTTGTGAAAATAATTACCTGAAGCTTTTTTGCTATTTGTTCAGAAATACCACTGAATTCAAAAGAAGGTATTCCTATCTAACTCCTGTTATCTCAGAAAGGCCTTCCTTTGAATTTACACCACAGTGAGATCTAAAAAGATCATGGACATTGTATCCCTGCTCCAAAATGTGTGGATTTAGGAAAGATTGTGTTGATTTCAGCCTGATTTTTCCTTGGATAAATATATGCTTTAAAAAGGGCATTGCCTTAATATGGCAGGGCATGCCACTAAACTCAACTAACCAATTTACAAATCCACACGTGTGGCTTGGCTTTGATTGAAAGAGAGGATTTTCACCACAAATAAATCCCATTGATATCAATGGAAGCCATATAATTACCAGAAGGTGGAATTTCAAACAGACAAGCATTCCAGCAGGCAAAAAAAAGAAAAAAGAAGTCTACATTTGAAGTGCAAATACAAACCACATTTTAAAGGAAATTAATCTCCCAAGCCTGACTTTCATTCCTGCTTTTAATTTTTCTTTAAAAATTTAGTCACTCGTTCTTGTGTGACAGATCTTCAAAAAGAAAATGAAAATTACTTTAGTTATTTTCACCTTTCTTGCCCAAAGGTACATTCAACAACACAATAATAACAACAGCCTCGTAATGGAGAACAGCCTTTTTGAGAGTTCATCCAGAGGGAAAACTGGCTTGGTAGCGGTTATCTTTTTGACAACTTGATATTTTCAACAGTAAAGAAGATGCACTGCTCATATTAATTCTATTTATGATTTATGAAAAATAGGCAGAGACCATAAATTTGGAAGCAGACGGCTTCAGATTCCAGACTTTTTCTTCTTTCTTCTCTAACTCACTTCCTCTAAACTGAGTCCCGAAATCTCAATTTGCCCATTGCATAAATATAAAGGCCAATTTAATTAGCAATACAATGCTGCTTTCCATGATTTTTTCATCATTCTTGGAAACAATAAGTGGGTAGCACCTCCTTCTTCTGAAAAATGGAAAAGGAAGGAAAATTCACCTATGTTTGGTGTTTAATTTTTTATTTGCCTTTCTAGTTTTGTTTTTTTTTTGTCTAATTTCAGAAAAATGCCTAACAATTCCATTAGCATGATCATTATATTCCTCTTGATTTCTTGAAAGGTTGAGTGCCTGAAGTCAGTATGGGTGGCTTCCATTCATCCGCTTGGCCTGTACAGATTCCAGATCCCTTTCAATTCCTTGGTAATTCCAGCAAGGTGGTTGAAATGTGAGCTTGTAGTTTTACTATCCAAATCCTTTAGTTCCACTCAGTTGTGGAACTGTCTGATTGTTTGCAATTGTTTACACACAAACTACCATAATCTCGTAGACAAACATCTTGGCAGGATGAAAATACAATGTGTTACAAAATGGTCCCAAGAAATGCAACCATGCCCTGGTTAATGTTCGAGACTCATTGTTAAGGCTTTAAAATTTGGCCACTAAACTCAATGCATGCCAAAGTAGTTTAGTTGCTCCAGAATTGACCATTATCTTTTATAGTTAAGAATCAACTGCATGTTATTAGTTTTACTCCATTGGGTTTGATGAGGCAATTTGCTCTTTGCCTTGCCTTGGCCTTGTTAGTGATTCAAAAAAAAAAAAGGTCTCACAGAGGAATTCAGGCACTTCTCACCCGATCCAAAGCCTAAGTCAATGTGCCCCTTATTCCCTTTTATCGTTGACCTCTCTGGGCTTCGAATCAGAGCTGAAGTGCCTTGACCATCAAAGACATGCATTTGGCTCCCAAAACATGCCACAATAAAAGCAACTTGAATGACTGGTTCCTGTTGCCCTGTACTTGGGATTAAAGGAGCCCACAACTCTCATAAATGCAATTCTGGAATATGCTCTGAAATATCACAGCCGTGGAGAAAAGAAAGGGGTTCCATCCTTACCCGTTTCTCTTCTTGCTGCTTTTTCTTGAGCCTGATGTGACTGAAGCTTAAAGGCAGACATATAGCCTTGTTGAACTGGGCCAAAGATCTGACTGATCTCCCCAATCTTGGGGAACGGGATGTTCCTGATAAGCCGAGATCCAGATTGTAGTGGAGCAAGCCAGGCAGAATTACCATCTTTGTGTGGGGATATGTATTCTCCTAAGATATCTGGAGGCTTATTCCCGGCTGTTTCTCTTTCTTGTTCTTTTTCTTGTTCTTTTCTTTTTGCCTGCTGAACATCACCATCACTCTGTGATAAATTATGCCTTAGGTTAATAATACAGAAAACTCCAAAGTCTCTAAAATCTTGCTCATTTTCTTTAGTTTGGAAATGATAGGACAGATGCTGATGCTGTTGTCTTCAACCCAGCAATTCCCTCTTTGCAACTAAGTGTGTGCAGTTAATGAAAGCCACAACCATGAGATGAGCCTAAATGTTAAACTTGAAAACCATTTTTGGGATGGATTTGGACCTTTGCATCTCATTTCTGTTGGCTTTGACAAAGAGAGGAGAAACAGGCTATTCAGATCAAAGCAGATTATTTATCTATTTCTTCTTATGACTCCTCTGAGTGGAACCAGGTCTTGGGAAGGAGAAAAACTGGATTGCAGTTGAGTCGCATTGCAGTATCTGTTTCGTTATTTCTGTCCAAGGCTTCGCTCACCAGTATTAGTTTTCCCACATACTAACCAACAAAACAGTTGTCTCTGTACTATTAATTTTGGAAGAAATGATGCTGCTCTAAATATCTGATAATGCTCCTTTAACATTAACAGCCTGAAAATGTGTAGGAGAGGCCGGAGAAATATAAGCAGTCTTCCCTCAAGGTGTGGGGATAAATTGAAAAGAGAGAGAGAAGTATTTCTCCTTTCTGCTGAGTTGCTCTTCCTGCATTGCTTCCATGGTTCAGTTCTGCCGGAAGCCATATGAGGCTGAAGCCCTGGGTGCAGTTCTTGGATGGTAATGGTGGGAGAGAAAGAAGTTAGTGAAGAAAACTGGCCTCGGTGAGGGTTGGGGGAAGGGGATTTTGTGTCTTTCCATAAAGATTTTATGGTCCTGCAAAGTTGCAACAACCCCCTTCCGGGCTTCCCCTGCATAGACCAGGAACCTGAGGAGGGGCATCCATTTCTACTCGCCTTCGGAAAACTCTCCTCGGCTAGCCCGCCTTCTTCTTCCTACTTCAAAGCGGGGAAGCTCTTAGGAGGAGAAGGCGATTTTCTTCCCGTGGGCCAAACAAGCCCGATAGGAAGCCCCGAGAGCCGTTGGCAGATCGCCACTCTTGCTCCCCTGGTTGGGAAGGGCGAGTCATTCGGGGAGCTTTGTGTCTCCTATGAAAGCCAAGGGTAAGTGCTGCAAGACGAGAGGGCAAGGGTAAGGAAGCCTCCGGGCAAAGGCTTGGACAGAAGGAAACCCTTCGCCTGGCCTCCTCGATTTCCTTGGCATTCCTAGCATTTTGGAGGGCGTTATGGGCGAAGACGTGGTGGATGTCAAAACGGAACCGAGCTAAAGATAGACTGCACAATATTGAATTGTTCAAAAGAATGTTTCTTACTCGCTTGGGAACTGAGACAGGCTATCAGTTAGCGCTACCAACTGGGACGGCTTGGGGCACGACGAACTAAAACACAAGCTGGCAACCTTTTTATGTTAAACAAGGAGAAGAACATTTAAAAGGAAGCCTCCCAAAAGGTGCCAAGAGCGCTTGAGAGTTGCTCTTGCTCCAGACCTTGTTTGCATGGCTTCCAAAATCACAAGAAGCCAAGCAATCGAGGGGGGCATGGAGTCTTCTCGGTGCTTCTTCATTATAAAATTCATCTCCCTTGTCTGCTGCTCTCCCTCTCTTGTCTGCTGGCTGTCGACTCCTTCCGTCATAGTTATAGATTGACTGTACAGAATTATCTAGCAATTTTGCTTTAGCCATTTCTGGATGAAAAGAGGTCTTACGTTTAAAACAAAAGTAGAAGAGGCGTCTCCCTTATCTAAATGCAGATATTTAGAAAGAATTGTACATTGTTTCTATAATTCAGGACTCGAACCCTTGAAAAATCCTTAATCTGAGAGGGAGATTCCTAGAAAATAGGAGCATGGAGATGTTTTACCAGATTTTGATTCTTTTCATTTCCATAAAAAGGTTTTAGTTTAGGCTTGTGACTTGGACTTCTGGTTTAATGGACAATTAGGGATCGAATCGCCTTAAAAAATACCCTAAACTCTTCACCTTGCTGCTGGTATGGTAATTTTATACTGGGTGCTTGTATACATTGTATCAAATACTGTGATATTTTTGCTAAGTGGGAAATGAACCGCTTCTCCTATGCAGAGGTATTGAGAAGTAATACCTCTTACTTCTTGGTGTAGTATGCTAGACTCAGAGAGAAAGAGGGTAAAACACAGGTGCGAGAATTGTCCGCATTGCTGCGGCTGGTATCTTAAGAAGCCGGAGGAGGGGTGGGGGCTGTCTTCTCGATATCATAAGCCTTGACTGCTAATAAGAAGCTCGGATCGGACTTCCAACTTGCTGGGGCCAGGCTGAGATGACCACCGACCTAAACTAACGCCTAGGCGAGCCACGAGAGGTACCCGAGGCTCGCCAAAGTTGTCTGAGCTTCAGAAATGTCAGGACAGCCACGAGTTGTGCAAAGAGTGGGTTGAGAAGAGGCTGAACAGTTCGCTTACAGGTGGCTTGTTGATGTACAGGACGTAATAATTCGCTCACGCCTTTGCTGTTTTATATTAGTGCATATGCTAATAGACCAGAACGCGCTAAATTATGAGTCTCATTAAAACCCGGCAGCGTTTTCCATTGTTTTTCTCCTCCTGCCACTTCGGTCCTTCGTTATATAACCTCATGCATGCTGCTCCCCCTCTGAGAACTAGCAAAGGCAGCCACGTGAAGACGTGGCCTACTGCGCGTGGAATACCCCTAGACATGCTTGTGTGCATATATTCACACATGCATGCATATATGCGAGGGCACACACATCCACACATCACCTTCGGTACATTATATTTTCAAATCTGTAGACATACATATCCACCCACGCACCCTCCGTGCACAACTACAAGTACACGCACGCACGCACGCACACGCGCCATTCAGACGTGGGCAGGAGAGCAGCTCGCCGCCTACGAAACCAAACTGGGAGTGGTTGTGGACGAAGGCTGGGTTTCCATTGGCTGCACGCAGCCGCCGTGGCGTGGGGGTATCTCTAATCATATTCAGCATGTTGTGCACAAGAAATGTCAGCCAGGAAGGGCTCTCTGCTCTCTTCGCCAAATTATCCCAAGGAAATGGCATGTTCGGAGACCCCAGCTGCAAACGCCTTTTTGGTGGACTCTTTGATCAGCTCAGCCTCAGGCAGAGGGGAAGGAGGGGGAGGCGGCGGCGGCGGCGGCGGCGGAGTTGCAGTAGGCGGAGGAGGAGGAAGAGGCGGCGGCAGCAGCTACTACCCGAACAACGGTGGTGTCTACCTGCCACAGGCGTCCGAATTGCCGTACGGGTTGCAAAGCTACGGGCTATTCCCGGTCCTGAGCAAATGCAGCGACGATCTGCCCCCTCCGCCGCCGCCGCCAAGCATGGTCCCCACTCCGCACACTTACATGTCAGGGATGGAGGTCTGGCTAGATCCCCCGAGATCCTGCAGCCTTGAAGAGCCCACAAGCCCACAGGCGACCTCCTGCTCCTTCGCTCCCAGCATTAAAGAGGAGAGCTCCTACTGCCTCTACGACTCGGACAAGGCCCGCAAAGAGGCACCGGCCACCGACCTGTCGCCTTTCCCGAGGCTAAGCGCAGAGATCTGCGCCGTGAATAACGTGGCGGCGGGGGTGCCTGTCCCGGGCTACTTCCGCTTGTCTCAAGCCTATGGCACCATCAAGAGCGGCAGCTGCTACAGCAGCTCCCACCAACACCACCACCACCAACAGCAGGAGCCGCCGCCGCCGCCGCCGCTGCTGCACCCAGGGCAAATGGTGGCTGCTTCCCAGTTTGCCCCGCAGCCCCAAGTGAGCTTCGAGTCTTCTCCGCCGTTCCCTCTGGCCGCCTCGTTGCCCGAGCAAGGCAAGAAAGACAGCGAGGATTCTTCCCCACCCAGCACTTTGGCCGGGGATTCGCAGAGAGGAGAGGAAGAAGGGCAGGCTTCTTCTTCTGCCGCAGAAGAGCTGTCGCCGGCCCCCTCGGAGAGCAGTAAGCCTCTCTCCGAGAAAGAAACCCTAGGTAAGGATTCCTCGTCCACCGAAGGCGGGGAAGGATTTTAAACCCTTCCCTGTTCAAAAGAGCTTTTGCCAGGTCAGCTCAGCAGCCCCAGGAAGGGCAGCTTAGACAAACCTACTCAAACCGCCCCACAGATTTTGTGCAACGATGCAGAGATACTGTAGATACCAGACAGGCCGGTAGAAAGCCATACATTCAGGAAAAAGCTTATACAGGGAGAGACAAAAAGGACAAACACGTGTGCATCTCTCTTTCCATTTTTTTAAAAAAATTGCAACCTTTAATGCATTGGCGGTGGACAATAGAGCATTGGGGGTGGGGGGGCAAAAGGAAAGAAAAAAACCACACCCAAGCCTGTCCTTCCTGGCCCACCGTGGTGCAGAAATGTCTGAACAGATAACGGAGACGTTCATTAAAAGGCCAAAGTAAGCAAAAAGTCAGCGTCCATAAATAAAACCTTTCAGAACCTAAGTTCTAGTTTACGATCTTGGATGCCTTTACAGACCCCTCCTCAGAGCATTTAGTTAGGCTGAAATTCTCTCAGGCAGCAGGGTCAGTTTAGACTGCAGACTGCCCTGCCAGTGTCCCTGCAGGCTTAAGGAGCCTTCCAGGGTAAAAATCCAAAGGGCCATTTCAATGAATAGGAATCGCCTTAAGAGCGCCCTGGGATCATTCTTCCAATGCCCTTTATTGCAAAGAAGAAAGTTTGTGCAGCAGTCATTCCTGCTGCAATGGAACACTAAGTGATAACAATAGCAATGTAGTACTACTACTAGGAATATTTCCAAACTTTTACAAAGTAGGACATTTTAATACTGATCGCTCATAATTCTGAAAAGCGATGACAATAAGTGTACCCATGTTACTCATATCCAAATATATGCAAGAATATGTTTCTGTACTGAGCCTCAATCCAGAAGAGAAAGACATCTGTAACTCTGCAGATATTAAGGAACCATCCATCCCCCTTTTTCAACGTGCCAGGTAGCTAATCATCTCCTGGCAACCTATGTAAATATAATTAATCTCTGGAAGAGGAATTGATCTTATCCTATGCAGATTTGCCTGTCCTGTTGAACTAAACCGCTTCAGTTCCCAAATATGCAGCTATCGGATTTTATTTATTTATTTAGCTGGTTTAGCTAGCCTTAGCTGAGTTACAGATTTGTGCTGGGGGGGGGGGGAAGATCTCAGAAGGGGAAAGTATGGAGCAATTTTAAATTTAGCACTGTACTCATGGGGCTATATTTTCACATCAATCTGCCTTTTCACTTAGGAAGAGGGTGGTGGGTTGTTTTGTTTTTTTTTTAATTTATTATTATTTTGGAAAGATAAATGTTTGAGGGAAAGACAAAGCACTGGCATACCTTGCTGGCTTCAATACCAAAATCTGGCCGACTTTGCTCAAGCGATCTTGAGAGGCAAGCAAATCAATCAGGAGGGTGCTAATTGTCTCTGGGTGTGGGTTGGGAGGGAAGACCTTCGAAAGGGGCTTTAAAAAGAGGGCTGGGGCCATTGGAACGTTGCCACAAACTTAAGGTCAGTAAGGACCTAGCCCTCAAGTATTCTTCCCAGCTCCTTCCTGGTGTCCTTGGTAATGTCCCTGGCTGACTTTTTTTTTTAAACTAGGCGGCCAGAAGGGAGAGAATGCAGCCACCTGGCTTACTGCGAAAAGTGGTAGAAAGAAGCGGTGCCCTTACACCAAGCACCAAACGCTGGAGCTGGAGAAAGAGTTTTTGTTCAATATGTACCTGACTCGTGAGCGTCGCCTAGAAATCAGCCGTAGTGTCCACCTCACGGATAGACAAGTTAAAATCTGGTTTCAGAACCGCAGAATGAAGCTGAAGAAAATGAACAGAGAGAATCGGATTCGGGAGCTCACAGCCAACTTCAGTTTCTCCTGATGGACCTATGGACACCTTTGAATCGTCTAAAGCAGCCGATACAATCCTGCACCCCACCCCACCCTAGCTCACCCCACCCCATTTGGTCAGGCTTTAACTATTAGCACCTGTGTGGATCTGAACCTTTCAGTCCCGCTCTCAGCCTCTCCATAGTCTTTTTGTGATTGATTTCGTTGGGATAAAGCCATAGCAAGGCAAGCCCAACATTCCTTCTGAACTTCCCTTCTTCTGTTCTTACTTCTGGAGACCCTGGCCCTTGAGAAATAGGATGTCCCAAACACTACGTGCCTATTCTCTTTCCCTAACCTACCCTTTAAAAAAACAACAACAGAAAGCAATCAGAAAAGAACCTAGCCATAGGAAAGGTGCATTCCGAACCTCTCCGCTAAGCTATGCCACATGTTGCAAACTGGGGTTGAGTGTAGTTTTCAATCATTTAAACATTTGAGCACACCACCCCAAACATGGATCGGGTTTGTTGTTGTTATTATTATTATTATTATTATTATTATTATTACTATTTTCTTGTTTAGCCAATATTAAGCAGCTATTGTGGAAAGAAACAAAAAGTCATATTGTTTAAGAAGCCAAAACTGTTCGTTTGTTTACTGTTTTTTTTCCCAAATGTTTAATATTTCAGCTTTAAAAGTTTTTTTGGAAAAGAGGGAGAGAGAAAGAGAGGGGGGGGAAGAGAGAAACTGCTCCTGTCCTTTCTTGAAAGATAAGAACAGTTTTATGTTCCTTAATGGTTAAATTATTACATTTCCTAGTTGTAGGTAATTTTGTTTTAGATAAATGATTCTTAACCATTTGTTCCTTATGTTTGACAAGCACAGACAAAGAAAGATGCGAAAGAACATTTATTGAATGGAGAAGGGGTGAAGACCCCGATTTTGCCTATTCTGTACCTAGAAATGTGTGTGTGTGTGTGTGTGTGTGTGTGTATGTGTATGTGTATGTATGTGCATATACACACACATGCACACACTCTGAAGTATTTCCTGGCTGTATAGCAAAGAAGAAAACCCTTATTTCCTTGATACTGTGAAGTTACATGCATTGAAAAAAAATCAAGCATGTAGTACAAAGAGAAGAAAAAAAACCCTATGGAATAGATATGTATAAATGTCTATTATTATTAAAATAATTAATATTATTAAAATATCAATACAGTTGGAAGCAAAGTATTCTTTTCGTTATTTAGATTTTAGCTTTATTTCTTGGTCTTACCTTACCTTCAATAAATTAATATCCTAATGCAGCTATGCACAAAGATGAACCAAACTCGAGACACTGTTCATATTTTATTGGAAGAATGAAAAGATGTGCAATGAATTTCCATAAAACAACAGCAAACACCATCACATAATAATAAGAACTCTACTTTTAAATTTTTGTGAACTTTTACATTAAAGAATAATTGACTAAGCCGCCTATAAATACTTTAGAAATCAACTTGAATGTAGACAGTCTTAATGTGCCTGGGCCATATAGGAATGATGTAGTAAGATTTGTCAGCTTTTGTTCAATTTTATGGCTTGCTAGCATATCTGGATTGTAGCCATCTTAGAGGAAGAAGTAGCTTCAGTTGAGCGAGGAGCTGTACAGAGGAACCAAACTGAAAATCTTATCTTTGAATATAGAGTATTGGCATTGTTGTCACTATTTCATAGGTAACTGAGTATGATTCTCAGTTACTCTAGCAGAGTTTCTGAGCATGAATTCCAAAGCGGAACCAAAAGGACTAAAGGCAAATAACGTGAAAAGGTGAGCAATAAGAATTTGGATCTTAAATTACACTCGCCTGTGTTGCAGGCGTTCTGGCATGATTCACCTGGCTGCAGGATGTGACTAGGCAGAAATGTCATCTTAAAATTCTATATAAATCCATATCTATCAAGTCTAAGATTAAAAGAATGGAATCCATGAAGTAGGGAGGAGAAAGAGAAGTAAAGAAGGAGGGTGGGGTGAGGTTGATGGGAATTTGAATAGTAACCTACAGCCAATAATTTCCCCTCCCCCCTCTCATCACCACCTCCTCCTCCTTCTTCCTCTTCCTCCTCCTCCCCTTCTCCTCTTCCTCCTTCTCCTAAGAGACTTTAGATCTTTTTTTTTAAATTACTATTTACGGAAAACATTTTAATCACTGAAGGCCTATCTCCCCACTCTTCCTTCACTTCTTTTCATTGCACACTCTTTATATTCTAAACATTCTACTGAAACGATTAAGAATGGTCAGCCAGATTCCCTAATATTTAAAACAAAGAAGTTTAATAAGTGGAGATGGCGGGCTGTTGGTGGGAGAAGGGGAGGGGAACATAAGGAAGGCTCGGCATTCGTTGCTGGCTTGTATTTATTTATATACTGGGCTGGGGTTTCCCCCTTCTTTCTTTCTTTTTAATTCCACCCCCCCCCCACCGGGGCTCTTTTGCTTAAAGGAAAGCGGCCACGGGGAACCCTGTTAATTAGAAAGCTGAAAACTGGTCGGTGATTTAGGTAGTTTCTCGTTGTTGAGGCTGAACATTTCTCTCTGCAGCATGAAACTGCCTTCATCACCTCAGTTTATAATCATCAAATGGGTGTAATCCCAAACAGACGCTTAAGGAGGATAAAAGTATTGCCTTTAACTACCGAAGGAATCTGGGGGGGGGGAGAGGAGGAGACACCCCCCCCACGCTGTCTCCTGGAGGCGTCAAGTCCCAACGCCATTGTTTCTTTCTGCGCGCCGAAATGCTGCTTCCAATAAACCAAGGTGGAGGAGGGGGCATTTAAAAAAAAAAACAATACAAAACCGCATGGAAGAGACCTTCAGGGCTAAGCAACATCCGTTGACTTCGGATTTTTATTTCTGTTTGAAAGGGGATCCTTTCCACAACTCCGAGATTCCTTTTCAAGGTCAGGGGCATTAAATAATTATTATGCTTTTCCTGTTCGAGGAATCCATTCGGACTGCTTGTCCTTGCAGTGTAAATGTGGCCCTGGCTGCAGGCTCCGCTGCGAATGGGACAAAATATTACCGCCTTTCTTTTCCACAACAATACCGATTTCAATTGTCTGTTGTTTGCGGGAAGGAAGGAAAGAAAGAAAATTTGACAGCAATTTTCAGGATTAAGCTACATTTCGTTAAGAGGAGCTCGCGGGAACGCGCGCGCCCTTTGATGCCTCTCTGGCTCTCCCTGATTTCCAGCGCGGCTCTTCCATCCTGATCCCCCTCCCTTTGCGTGGCAGTTTCTGTTTCTCTCGACCCCCCCCCCCCCAATCAATTCACCGGGTGTTTGGGTTTTTTTGAGGCGGGTAGGGGAATGTGGCATTTAGGGCGTCTCAGCCACGCGCGCGCGCACAGCGGTCTCGGCAAGGTGGAAGGAAGACCCGAGAGGTGAGAACGCAGAGATTTCTCCAGGGCTGGCAAGGCCTCGGTTACGATCATTATTGGAATGGGTCCGGGCTCCTGCATTCCAGTGAGGCGGCATAAGCAACAGCGACCTCGCTCGGGCTGAGGCGGTGTGCCGGCCCGTCGCCTTCCCTTTTTATGTTCGGCAGCCCCGCGAGACGGAAGGAAGGCGCTGCGCCGTCTTGTTTACATCCCGCACACACGTTATTTACCGCTAGTGTAAATGAACAAGAGTTCTCTCTTGGGTATGGGGGTGTGTAGGGGACCGGGAGGGCCGACGTGGGGTTTGGAAGAATAGGACGTTTCTTAGTCTCTGTTTTGTCTCATCCCACTTTTAATTAAAAAATACCTTTCAAATTTCAGACGTCAATTAAAGGAGGCCTGGAGATGGAAATCCAATTTTTGTAATTTTGTTTCCCCTATCTTGTTTGAAAGTTGGGCCTTGTGTCTTCTTTTAATATTAGTGAAAAGCTCACAAGTTTCGTAGCAAAAGGTTTTTTTTTCTTATAACATAGTCAAGTATTTATAAACACACTCACACACACACACTGTGTGTGTGTGTGTGTGTGTGTGTATGATATAATTGGTATACACACACACACATCCCAAAAAAACCCCTATATATTATCTAGGTTGGTGGTGGAGCATTAAAATACACATCTATATATACATATCTACATAGACAAAAACACCAAAGCATGTAATATGTGTCTGTGTGAATTACAGACTTTGAATTAAGAATCATACTTTTGAATGAAATATATAAACAGATGTGGCTCCCCACAATGACATTCAAGAGCCATATTTGGGTCTATATGTCCTATACTTTTCCTCTTGATAAGTTATTATTTATTTGTAATGGTCTCCAAACTCTCAAAACCTCTTGAATTCCATAGTGGAGGGCCTCCTACCAAATCTTCCTCTAAATCCTAAGTGCTTTTGGGTGGATGTGGAAGAGACATAGACTTGTCCCACTCTGTGGAGAGGCACAGAAGCAGAAGCCTAAATATAGAGGAATCTAGCCTGTATTTGAAAGCAAAAGGAATAAGGTTATGAAATGTCTTTATTAATTGGTAGACTCTATGAAAAAAAGAAAAAGAAAACAGGTCTCAATAACTCAAAACTTTTGTATGCTCTCTGGGGGGGGGGGCAGATTCAAATATTTTATCGTTAAAATTTAGTAGATTCTAAACGGCCCAGAGATATTCCATAGATGTTAAGTAAGAAATCTGTGCACACCTGCTGAGCATATTTAAATCAGTGGGGCTTACTTTGGAGTAGAATTGGGGATTAGATGGGGGCGGGAGAGAATGCTGAGAACTAGTATTTCAGAATTAGGAAATAAATGTCCCCAAACAATCTCTGTGAATCTCTATATTGTACATGAGTGGATTATGTTAAATGTCTGCATGCCTAAATACACTTCCTTGAAAATAAATCCCAAATATTTTTGTTCACGGTAAAGAAAGTCTGTTAGCTTCCATATGTGGATGGGCACCACATTAAGTAATTTAATACTTGCTTAAATAGTGAAATTATAAGCATAACCAAACAAAATAATTTCATCCTGTTTTATATTATTATTATATTAAATTATATGGTTATAATATGTAACCAAATTATATTAGTTACAAAGCATTGTTGTAAAAATATGGATGTTGTTGAAATAAAATTCTGACAGAGGGAAAAATACGAGAGAGATAAAATTGGAAGTGTCTGCTTATTCCTTGTTGTATATTATTCATTTCTGCGATTTCAAATTGAAATATATCCCTTTATCTACATTTCTTATTACAGTTATTCCACAGCCTCTATTTAAATACTTTATGTAGACTTTATTATTTTAATATAAATATAACTTAATTGTTATAAAACTTAGTTCTCATTTAAAAATTAATATAAAATAAATAACTGTAGTTTCCAAAATGCAACATAGTATACAATATAAACATTGAGGAACCCTGGCATTAAGATTTTTCTTTCCTTCTAAGAGAGGGGAAGTTCATCACAACACCAAACTTTAGATTTTAAACAAAATTATGTAAAGCATCCACATGCATATATTCACAAAGAGAGACATACACATTTATACATATACATTACATATGTGTACGTATAGGGAGAGATTAAACACACATTTATAGATACATAGATTCATTCATTTATTCATTTGTGGCCTATACGGCTGTTTCTCGCTAAGACAACTACAGAGTTCAACTGTTTTACTATAGAAAAATCTTCATCTGATTTTAAAATAACTTTGGGGATAAGGTGGTTAATAACACCGCCTTGAAACTTTTTCTCTTCATATATGTAACAAATTGCAATTTTAAGATCTTAGGTAAAAAAAAAATACATAGCTGACTGCTAATTTTATTTTATTTATTTATTTTCAACTTTTAGCCTTTGGTGGGTTTTACAAAAAGAGCAAAGACAGAGAGATGATATAAAGCAAATAAGAAACCTATCTTTTCCGTGCTGAATATTCACACATTACTTTAAGCAGCACGCGGTTCCTCCCTAACGCTGCATTCTCCCCCCCCCAAAGCATTTTTTTTAAAAAAATATAGAGATTGTTGAGATTATCTTTTTCTTTCCTTTTATTGTTGAGGTTACAGGTTCCCCTCCTCAAAAAAAAAAAAAAAAAAAAAGGACCCACAGAATAAAGCAAAAACTCCTAACGGGGGGTGGGATGGGGAAGGAGTGGGGGGAGAGAGGACAGGAACACTTCGGAGAAGATACTGGATTGAAATGCCACAGGCACCCCGCATTTAGCCCTAACTTTAATTCACAACACTGGACTTGATCTGAGGACCGAATCACCTTTTTCGTTTCGCCAGAAGATGTAACCTTCCGCTCAATTCCGAAGTTCCAGGTTCTGCCGCAGAGCATACCAGAAAAGAAATAACTACTTATACCCCCAAACTGCCAGTTGTTTGGGACTGAAATACTTCTTTCAAAGCCCAGCGGGGAAATGCTTTAACCTGACGACTGAGGCTTCTTATGGTTTCCACTCCTTCTTAGGAATCAGCCATAGATACAGGGACACAGACATTATACATACATACATACATACATACATACATGCATACATACATACATACATGCATACATACACTGCAGACATCCCAAGCGGTCGATATGCATGCTCCCCCGCGCGCATACAGACGTGTGGGATATATGCATGTGTGTGTGTGTGTTTGCCTGTATGTACAATATCTCCCAAGCGCACAATACACCCGTCCCACATAACCTTTCCGTGCTTGCGCCGTCCTAAGGAGAAGGTGCTGTAACACTTCTGGAAGAGGCTTAAAAATCTCGGGGCGTGGATTCTCCTTGCAGTCAACTTGATCGAGGGTGGGGGTCTTTATTTCGTCGGTAAAAAAAGTCCGGGTCTTCCCTTTAGTTTACGCGCGCTCTCTTGCTCTCTCTCTCCACCTTTCGCCCTCTTTCCCCCACCCCCCACCCTTCATTTCTCTTATTTAAAAAACGCGTCCTTTGCTGGTTTGTTACCAGTGCCAGAGCCCCGAACTATACCTCTCTTCCACGAACACAGGGAGATGTCACGGATAAGGTTGCGGAAGTGCCACAGAAATATGGTGCCAGCCACAAATGCTTGTGTGTGCGTCCGTGTGTATATTTGTGTGTGTGCGCGAGAGAGAGTCAGAGAACCTCCCGCACACCTGCAAGTTACCTAACCTTAGTGGGAAAAGATAAAGGGATAGATATCCCCCCCTGAAAAAGTTGTTTTTTTGGGGGGGGGCAATCCTCAGCGTCAAGCGAGTCTGCTTGAGCTCCGGCCACTCAGCCCCTCTTGAGAGTCGGAAAAAATCCGCATCCGAGGCGCCTCTAATGAAGTACCGTAGGTCTCGTTGGGGACTGGAAATCGCTCCTGAGCCTTGCCTTGTTGTTGGGGCGCCCCAAAGTTGGGAGCGGAGCGCCTTTCAGAAGGAGCCCAGGGTTGCATTTGACTTTTTCCTGCCAGCCCTAGTTAGCTCTGAACTCTGCGGCGCGCTATTATTTACAGTGAGTTCCCAAACTAAACACAATAGTATAATTTAACCTTTCCAGGCACTCGTAAATTTTTACGGCTGTGAAACAGAGCAACGCAAATGAATATGCCCATAGTTACTGACTTAATAACAGCCCGTGGCTCCCGGAACAATAACTCCTTATGAAATATAATAAATATGTATTTAAATACAGATTGCCGCCAGTGTTATTTTCTTTATGGCATAAACGATTGTATAATTTTATGTGAAGGTCTCCGATCACAAGGAGAGCAGCATGTCTGCGCGTTGCCCTCTTTCTCTCGCTCTCTTTCTCTTTTCCCAAGGAACAAGAACCATTGATGGAATGATTAATTATGATATAAAATAGTCCACTTAAAAAGAGTGATCATAATAGACCCCCTCAAAAAACAGTCGGATCTTTTTATCTCATTTGGCCACAATTAAAGCAAACTTTGCTCTATAACTTGCTTATTCCTTTGCATTTTAAAAAAAAGAGAGCATATGGCTTTGCTATAAAAAATGATGGCTGGAAAACACTGACCCATTAATAGCCTGCGGACTGATTTATTCTTTATTGTTCTGCTGCCCGGACACGTGACACGCGGCAGCCAATGGGCTGACAGGCAGCCTTCAACTTATTAGGTGACTGTACTACTTCGCAAGGACCAAGTTGTTACATGAAATCTGTAGTTTCATAATTTCGCCAGGGCTCGCCTCTCCTTTGGTTTGGCTGGGGTGGCGATGTCTTCGTCGGGGACGCTCAGCAACTATTACGTGGACTCGTTCCTCCTCCACGAGACCGAGGAGCTGGTGCAGTCGCGCTACGCTTCGGCCCCTCTGGGCCAGCCGGCCAGGCAGGCGACCCTCGGCGAGCACCCCGAGTTCACCCCCTGCAGCTTCCAGTCGAAAGCGTCCGTCTTCAGCACTTCCTGGAATGCCGTGCACCCGCCGAGCGCCAACAATGTGCCGGCAGTCTACCACCCGTACGTGCATCACCAGCCACCCGACGGCAGGTACATGCGTTCGTGGCTGGAGCCGATGCCGGCCTCCTTGTCTTTCCCCGGCTTGCCGGCTAGCAGGCATTACGGCATTAAACCTGAACCGCTCACGGCCAGGAGGGGTGACTGTACCACCTTTGACACGCACGCACTCTCTCTGACTGACTATGCTTGTGGTTCTCCTCCAGCTGATAGGGATAAGCCAGCCAACGACGGGGCATTCTCGGAAAACAATGGCGAGAGCGAGGCAAACGGAGACAAACCCCAGCTGGATCCAAGTAAGTGCACTTGCTGCAGGGCCCCGCTGGACTTGAGGAGAGAAGGAGAGCGGGAGGGAAGTCGAGAGCGAGAGGGTCTGCCGAGGCTGGCTTCTGAGGCAGGATCCATCTTGAGCTATGCGGCAAGGATTGGGGGTGGGGGGCGCGCGAATAGGTAGGAAGGGTGGGTGAGGGTTTCTGTGGCCAGAAAAGGGGTAGAAAGTACCGAGGCTTCCTGGAACTGGGGCGTGCGGACCCCTATATGTGTGTGTGTGCGTGCGTGTGTGTGTGTGTGTGTGTGTGCCTACCGTTGTTTTTCTTTTTTCTTTCCTCCCTTGTCTCTCTCTTTCTCGGAGTCTGCCGGCACGCTAGCCCTGATAGAGAAGACCGTTCACAGAGATGGTCTGATTCTCAGCTTCAGCCTGCCTTCCTCAGACACACAGTCTGCAAGGGAGTGTCACATGTATGCTTTCCCTGGCTATGGCTTCCGCTAGAAAGCTGGATAGGGAAGATTCGGGTGGGGCAGGGGGAAAGAGAAATGGGGGGGCTGGGGGGGGAGAGGGAGCTGTGAAGGAAGGAAATCCAAAACACTGGGTGTGAATCCATTTCCGTTAGCTCACAAACCCAAGAATGCCCAATTCAGGGGGGAAAAAACATCTTCTTTCTCCCCTGATTTTTGAAAGGATCACACCCACAAATCAGGTTCATAGGCAAGTCAGGTTTATCCTTAAAAGCTGAAAAGTGGGTAGATTCTTTTGTCCCTGTATAATCAGAGGAGACACCAGAGAAGGTCAGAAAATAGAGACATTCGCAATGGGCGCTCTGTTCTTATGGGTTGTTCACCACCATATTTTTAATTGCTGGGGGGTGGGGGGAGGTGAGGAGGAAGGAGATGAGGACAAGGTGGGGAGAAAGCCGGAAATGCTGGCTTTAAAAGTACACTCTTGGATAAACAATATGAGGGAAGCTGGGTGCTGACATTTTACTGCAATTCTATATGACTCTCTCTTGAGTCACTAAATTGAAACCCATTTTTGCCCAGTGAAAGAAACATGAGAAACTATCAATATTTTGTGTGAGAGTGGGTAGTGATGAGGGCAAAGAAATATACATTTCTGTGTGGAAGTCTTTGCTTCCTTCAACCTGAGCATTGTTTCCCTGCAGATAACCCAGCAGCAAACTGGTTACATGCAAGATCCACTAGGAAAAAGCGTTGCCCTTACACCAAGCATCAGACACTGGAGTTGGAGAAAGAGTTTCTCTTCAATATGTATCTTACCAGGGACCGAAGGTACGAAGTGGCCAGGCTCCTGAATTTAACGGAGAGACAAGTGAAAATCTGGTTCCAGAATCGTAGAATGAAAATGAAGAAAATTAACAAAGATCGAGCAAAGGATGAATGATCCTGGACGGCAGGTTTAATCTGTGTCAAAACAGCAAAATCCGCCCTCCCCCCGTGGTCCTTCAGCGCCACACAACGCAACTCCTCTCCCCCACATCCTGAAACTGTGTCCAGGCCTCACCTATTTTTATTTTTTCATTGTTGTTTGTCCTTGGCCAATTCAGCTCTTGAATGTACCTCGCCAGCGTGCAGAAAGACCCGCTGTGTCCTGCTGCTATTTTGGAGGTATAGTCTTTTTCCCGTTTTCTATTCATAGAAAAGCAAAGGAGGGACATTGCCGCACCAGGGTGATATGTTGCTTTGTCTAAATCTACCTGTCAAGAAAGAAAAAGAAAAAGAAAAAAAGAAAAAGAAAAAGAAAAAGAAAAAGAAAGAGTAAGAAAGAAAGAGAAAGAAAACTACCTTTTAATGCACAATTCTTTATGGACTGTATAGGTTAGTTGAAGTAGTTAAATTTATTTGCTTGTCGCAAGGCAGAGAGAGGTCTGCTGTAATACTTGAACACTGTGTTTTATTGTGGTATTATATTTGTGACTCAATTTTTGTGCTTGGGTGCTGTACCAGATGTGATTGTGTAAGCTAGAATACAATTTGAACTCAGGTTGTTTATTATAAAGATTGCATAGAGTATAGCTCTGTAGTGTAAGGACGGAGTCTTTTTTTCTGTACCATTGAACAGTTAACCTTGGATTGTAGGGATAAAAATTATAAACCATCCATTTCGTATCCTAACTTTTAAACATAAAAGAAAAGCAAACACTATCTGGAATAAAAAGGAGCGTATTGGTTCCTCTGAAACCAGTCATTTAAGTATGCACACAATCTATCTATCTATCTATATATAGTACAGTTTTCGTCAGTTGTATATATATTATCTATATATTAAAGAAAGAAACCCTTAATAATCAAATTAGCTTGAATATTGTTTTTGCACCCGTGAGCAGTTCTCAGATATCGGAGCTATACCTATATGTGAAAAAGGTAACTACTACCTATGGTTTACGTTTTAAGATTAATCAAATAACTTGATTCCTATTGTAATGAAATTTAATTTTATTGATAATAAATTATACACTAAAAACTACCTTTGGTTATTGCAGATGTGTATTAATTTTTTTTAACAACCTGAAAGTTATGTCTATGCAGAAGCTACACTTTGTATATTTTGCCAAACTTACCTCGTGGCTTACTGACCAAATAGTTTTGTCCAAAATGATATTTAACTTTTTTGCTAAATAAAAAAAAATATTGATTCTTTTATATTTTTGTGCTGTTTTAAGATTATTATGGGCACTGCTCCACAAGCTCAGCCCATAGATGGCATCTATTCTGGTGAGTAACCAGCAGCAAAACCTTGATTCTAAGCCCAATTATTAAAAAATAAATCCCTACTCTTTTAATAGCACTCACTCCATGCTTTGGATATTAGGAACTCATGAATGAAATCGTTTATAAGTCTCTGCATCATTTTCCTGACATCACAGCCTTTAAAAACCCTGTCAGCCAACGGACTATTGAAAATACTATCCAGCTTGCTGGAAGTCCATAATTTTTAATGATGCATATACAAATTGAGTTTTTATTCAAAAACAAAACAATACACTAAGCAGCTGTTTGTGACTGTCTTCTTCAAGGGCAAAAATATTGCTGCTCTTTTTATTGGTTTCATTTTGAACTTTCACACAAAAATCAAACTGTTATTTCTCAGAGACAAATAACTGCATAGCACTGGTGTGAAATATCCTTTTGTAACTTCCTGGAGAATGGGCTGCCTTTATGAAAGGTCCTCCTTTGCATTTCCATCTACAGAGTCTCCCAAATCAAGGCGTGGCATTTGTCTCCAATAATAATAAAAAAAAAAGCAAAATATAGTTCTTATTCTCATAAACTGGAAAGTCAGATTCTAATATGATTACCCGGATGGTGGTTTGAGCCCAGACCACAAAATGTTACAGCTTGCTGGACATAGCTAACAATTTAACAAACAAATACGTGAACGGGTGGGGAGGGAAGTGGCCCTGGGGTGGGGATTGGACTCAAACCAATAAGCAAGACAAGGGATTATTCTGAGATGAATGCCAAGTGAATCTCACGAGAAAGGACCTAGAATCAAGTTTTAGATTCCACAAACTACCTGAAGAGAATTTCACCCACAATCAGAAACTCTGGGAATGCCCCACTTTCTTCCAAAGCTAAAAGCGCCAGCCCGCCCCTCCAACTCATAAGTCTGGGATAAAGACGGTATCAGCAACATATAATAAAAGAAAATGACGGCTGTAACCCTTTCTGGGTGCAAAGGGCCGGCGGGTGAAAGAGAACCTCATCCGGGTCTCAAGGTCTGTTAAAAAATAATAATAAAAATCCCCCCACCCCACCCTAGACTGGCCCGGGACGGGGTCTGCCTGGCTGTTATTTTTTGCTTTGTTTCGAAGGAAAAATAAAAGGTGGGACTTATCTCTGAGCAAGTGGAAAAAAACGGGGTCGGCTTTGGCGACGGGAAAGGAAATTGGAGGGGGTCGGGGACCTGGAATTTCTGTCTGTCCCAGGAGTTTGGGATCTGGGACGCCCTCTGTTGTTGTGGACTGGGGGGACTTCAAAGCACCAGCCTTTGGAGGGCCTAATAAACGGCGGGTCTGCAAACTGTCTGGAATTCGGCCCTTAATGAGTTTACAACTGTCCAGCCGCAATTAGTTTTTCTACAAAAGTCCTTTCATTTGTTTTGTCTGGCTCTTTCAGATAAAGCCGGACTGCGGAAATAGCCTGCATTTATGAGTTCCCTTCCTCTGGAATGTAGGCTTGAACGGTGGACGTTTATCTATAATGAATTTGCCGCCGGGATCTTCTCCTACAATAGCCAAGGAACGGCGAGGCAGATTATTTAAAACGTGTGCAATGCAGGGAGCACCGCGGTTTTTACGCTTTAGAAAGGATCCTGAATCTTTTGGATCATTTGCAAGGACCAAGAATAAACAGCAGATGGCAGTGTTGTTCCATGAAAACAAGAGTGGTGTTTTTGAATGCCAAAGGAAGATTCTAAAATGTCGACTTTCTGGAAGCAGCATCCTGTATATGCGGGGTTAGAAACTGCTGATTGGATTTTAACAAAGGACAAAAAGTGCTCGTTGCCTATTTACCCCTATGAATATCTGAACGCTTAAAAAGGAATGCAGCAATGCTAGGTTGGATGCAGATCTATTCACGCCAAAACCAGATTCTCTGTGGGAATTTAAGCCAGTTTTGATTAAAACTGAACCCAGTTGTTCATCAGTATGTCGTTTATTGTAAATCTTAATTTCAGAACTCTGAACCATTAGGCTTTATTATTATTTTAAAAATGTATCAAAGATCAGATTTTGTGACGTCAGACATCAGTAATATGTGATGTGATGTGTGTGTGTGTGTGTATATATATGTGTGCATGTATGTATCCACATATCTATAGATGTGTACACATACAGACACATCTATACAAACACATGTTTCAGGTTTAAAAATGGCTCATTTCAGCTCAATAAAGAGGCTGAACTGGATTCTATCCCTTCGGATATATGCAAGTATGTATCATCTTTGGGGAAATTAAATTTTCAACTGTTAAACCTATAATAAAATACAAATACATTTGTGTTAAGAACCAATCCATAATTTAACTGGCTGTGATATGCACAAATTGATACGCACAATAATATCTGTATGCAAATATAAATCATGCAGGCAAATATATTCACACAATACAATCATTTATATTTCCTCAATCCCACCCAGGCAGCAAGCTACTCTATGAAGTAAGCCTCACTGAATAATGTGGGGTTTACTTCCTAGTAAATATGCCCAGGATGGTCTTATGATGGTGTGAGTGTGTGCAATTGTATTCCATCAGCATTCTCTAACGGGGCATTTAATAGAGCACCCCAATAGGTATGTAGGATTGAAACATAAGCAGGCTGCACCATCTTTACTGAAAGCATAAAAGGAATATTACAGCTGCAAAGATTCAAATCCCGGGAAAGCCTCAGTGGATGATTGAAAGGTTGTATCATTGGTACAAGCAATCCTAAGAAAGAGCTTAAAGGCCATGCTTCCAAATGGAACAAATAGACAGGTCCCCCCCTCGGAAAAACATAACACAACCGAACAAGCTCCCCTTTTGATAGGGATTTTAGGCAGTTCTCTATGGTGCGAATATCCTTCTTTTCTAACACAAGGGTATCTTTCCTCTGCCTCATTTACATTCCCCAAACGTGACTCTGGCTTGCTTTGGAGGACAGGCTGTCCTTGAAATTGTGCTTTTTTTTTCGCCCCCACCCACCGCCCCTCAGGCCGCACAAACTGAACTGCTAGGATAAAACGACTAATTTTTAATCTGAAAATTATTTACCAGCCACTGAATTTTCCAGCAGATGTATTTTCTGCAATTAAGGGGTTTGTTCTGTCCTAAACAATTTTGACTCGGTGGGATCTGATTTAATTATGTTATGCAAATGCTCACAAGCTGACATACCACCGGTTGTAGAAAGGTCTCTATCTTTTTATTCTGGGACCTTTATTGTTTCTTACATTTTCAGGGTTTTTTTTCTGATAAAAAACTAATACCTCTTTTTAGCTCCCGCTCTGGAGAAGCTCTGCATTTATTCTCATTTCAGCTGAGCAAGGAACACATTCTGGCTTCTGAAAATTGAATGCCTGAAATTCATGTTTATCTGTAAATAGGTTTTCGGAATATAAGAAACATAAATGCATCACATCAAAATGAAAGAAAAATATGATATTATTGGGAAAATGTTGAAAATGTACATCTTCTTCACACTTACAAGAGGACATAGAAATCCATCACTACCGAGCCAAATAAAACCAGCGAAGGAAAACTCAAAATTCAAGCACAGAAAGGATTCTGGTTTAATGTTATAAGAAGAATCCACATAAGGAAAACAGTCAATTATTTTTGACATTAAAAATATTGAAAGCCTATGGAGGGAATGCAACATCTATATTTAATAAATAGTCCTAGTGGAAAATAAAATTTATATGAACGGATTATGACCTATCACAGTTAAGTATGTAATCCTTATTGATAAGATAATACCTTTAATATAATCTGGTGATGTTATCCCACCACACTTCACCTGTGGTGAAATGCAAAACGGAACTTGAGTAACTCATATAAACTTTTAATTGAGCAGACAAGACTAATTAAGGAGAGGGGAGCTCATATATGCCAAATGGCAAAATCAAAGCTGTAATCGAACTGAATTAGTAACTATTTTGCTTCCAAATGCAGAAAGCAGGCTTATAGCGTAAGCAATTGGGAAATATTTTGAAGCGGCACATTTTCGCTTTAACAAAGATTTCTCAGAACATATAACAAAGCAATTTACGTCTTCGTATAGGACGGAATATTTTTGAAGGGCATGGGTCTTGTTGGATACAGAAGAAAATATGGTGGGCGGAGGGGTTTCATTTAATTTCACAGGCGTAAATGAAATGCAATAAACAATATATTATAAAAAAATAAGAGTCGTTTTAGGGTGTCTGAGCGTGTGCGCGCGCGCACTTCTAAGCAGGTTTCTAAAGAGAATGAGCATATAGGATTTCCTTTCTGAACTGGAGAAAAATTCCGCAATCCGACGCCAGAGCCAGAAAAAAGACTTAAAATGGAAAGAGAGAGAGAGAGAGGTTTCCAACCATACTATTGTGGCTAACGGGTAGCTTCATTTTCAACGTGCTTTAGAGCTTATGGGGAGAAGAAGTTCACATTGAGAGAATTAGACATTCGCCTTGTCAGAAAACCGCCCCTATTCTCAGGGTGCGCGTGAGCTTGTGTGTCCACCTACTACACAATTCTTGTGGGAAATTTCGAACGTTTCCAGGCTTCAGAAAACCTTTTTTTTTAAAAGGCAATTTTTATTTTTAAGTCTGTCCCTGGCCGATATGAGAAACTAGCATCTTGTCTTGATCGACCCTAAACCAGTTTGAGTATCTGCGAAGCCACGGTTTGCATGACCAGGAGCCGCGCCTCCAATGCTGCTTCTGTTTGCTGTCTCGCTCCCCTCTTCCATCTCGTGGACTGTTCCCGGGGAGGCATTTATTAGTTCAATGTTGAGGTGGCCGGCGGCTTCTTTGATCTCGATTGCCTTTGCAGGTTCGCTTTGCTTTCTTCCTTCTTTCATTGGCTTTTGTAGGGTTGCTCGCTTGATTTCAAAAAGATTTTTCCAGGAAAGCGAATGGGATGGGAAAAAGGGAGCCCTCCCTTGGCCTACCTTTGG